TTGGGCCGTTTTGGGGCCCTCTTGGGGGCTTCTTGGGCCGTCTTGGTACTATTTTGGAGGCTGCTTGGACCGTCATGGGCCTCTGAGGGTCGAAACAGGCGATCACGCTATAATCTTTGATTTTGGCATCTGGATGCGCTCTCGGGGGTCTTCCTGGGGCTCTGTCGGTTGAGTTTTTTTAGGGGGCCTCATGGGCCCTCTTGGGGCTATCTTGGGCCGCTTTTGGGCCGTCTTGGCGGGTTTCGAGGCAGACCGAAATAATAGTTGTTCTATCGGTTGTTCGCGGCTCTTTGTGCCATATAGGGGCCCTCTTGGGCAGTCTTTGGGCACTCCTCGGGGCCTCTTGGGGCGTTTGGGGGCCATCTTGGAGGCTACTTGGGCCGTCATGGCGCCCCGAGAATTGAAAAACGCGAGATGAATACATTCAGCAAAAACCTTTGGGACATCAGTGTTTTGGGCCTCTGGAAGTACTCTTGGGGGCCTCCTTATGGCCCTGTGGGGCTGTCTTGGAAGCCTAGTTGGCCCTCTTGGGGCCAGCTTGGACCGTCTTCGGGCCGTCTTGGCCCGCCTTGAGGCAATCGTGCGCCATTTTGAGGCCTTCATGGGCTCCCATGAGGCCGAACATGCCGATCATTACCTAACATCGAAGACTGGTAGGTTTCTAGTGGTGTAAAAAGAGAGCAGCACATTACTCCACAGGGGGGTCTGGGCAGCCGTTCGGGAGCCGTTGGGGGCCGTTGGGGGGCCGTTGGGGTTTGCCGGGGGGGGATCGTTTTTCGCATACAGTCACACACTTCGTGCTTTTCGATTTCCCAGAACTCCATTCCCGGGCCACATTTTGAATGCCCGGAGCCAACTGTACGCCACTTCGTGCTCTTCGACTTCCCAGAACTCCATTCCCGGGCCACATTTTGGATGCCCGGAGCCAACTGTAGGCCACTTCGTGCTTCTTCCCAGAACTCCATTCCCGGGCCACACCCGGAGCCAACTGTAGGCCACTTCGTGCTCTTCTTCCCAGAACTCCATTCCCGGGCCACATTTTGGATGCCCGGAGCCAACTGTAGGCCACTTCGTGGTCTTCGAGTTCCCAGAACTCCATTCCTGGGCATGATTTTGAATGCCCGGAGCCAACTGTAGGCCACTTCGTGTTCTTCGAGTTCCCAGAACTCCATTCCCGGGCCACATTTTGAATGCTGAGGCAGGCTGAGGCTGAGGCTGAGGCAGGCTGAGGCTGAGGCAGGCTGAGGCTGAGGCCGAGGCTGAAGGCAGACTGAGGCTGAGGCTGAAGCAGGCTGAGGCTGAGGCTGAGGCAGGCTGAGGCTGAGGCTGAGGCAGGCTGATGCTGAGGCAGGCTGAGGCTGAGGCTGAGGCAGGCTGAGGCTGAGGCAGGAGGCTGAGGCTGAGGCTGAGGATGAGGCTGAGGCTGAGGCTGAGGCTGAGGCTGAGGCTGAGGCTGAGGCTGAGGGCTGAGGCTGAGGCTGAGGCTGCTGAGGCTGAGGCTGAGGCTGAGGCTGAGGCTGAGGCTGAGGCTGAGGCTGAGGCTGAGGCTGAGGCTGAGGCTGAGGCAGGCTGAGGCTGAGGCTGAGGCTGAGGCTGAGGCTGAGGCTGAGGCTGAGGCTGAGGCTGAGGCTGAGGCTGAGGCTGAGGCTGAGGCTGAGGCAGGCTGAAGGCAGAGGCTGAGGCTGAGGCTGAGGCTGAGGCAGGCTGAGGCTGAGGCTGAGGCAGGCTGAGGCAGGCTGAGGCTGAGGCTGAGGCTGATGCTGAGGAGGCTGAGGCTGAGGCTGAGGCTGAGGCAGGCTGATGCTGAGGCAGGCTGAGGCTGAGGCTGAGGCTGAGGCTGAGGCTGAGGCTGAGGCTGAGGCAGGCTGAAGGCAGACTGAGGCTGAGGCTGAAGCAGGCTGAGGCTGAGGCTGAGGCAGGCTGAGGCTGAGGCTGAGGCAGGCTGATGCTGAGGCAGGCTGAGGCTGAGGCTGAGGCTGATGCAGGCTGAGGCTGAGGCAGGCTGAGGCTGAGGCCGAGGCTGAAGGCAGACTGAGGCTGAGGCTGAAGCAGGCTGAGGCTGAGGCTGAGGCAGGCTGAGGCTGAGGCTGAGGCAGGCTGATGCTGAGGCCTGAGGCTGAGGCTGAGGCTGATGCAGGCTGAGGCTGAGGCAGGCTGAGGCTGAGGCCGAGGCTGAAGGCAGACTGAGGCTGAGGCTGAAGCAGGCTGAGGCTGAGGCTGAGGCAGGCTGAGGCTGAGGCTGAGGCAGGCTGAGGCTGAGGCTGAGGCTGAGGCTGAGGCTGAGGCCAGGCTGAGGCTGAGGCAGGCTGAGGCTGAGGCCGAGGCTGAAGGCAGACTGAGGCTGAGGCTGAAGCAGGCTGAGGCTGAGGCTGAGGCTGAGGCAGGCTGAGGCTGAGGCTGAGGCAGGCTGATGCTGAGGCAGGCTGAGGCTGAGGCTGAGGCTGATGCAGGCTGAGGCTGAGGCAGGCTGAGGCTGAGCCGAGGCTGAAGGCAGACTGAGGCTGAGGCTGAAGCAGGCTGAGGCTGAGGCTGAGGCAGGCTGAGGCTGAGGCAGGCTGAGGCTGAGGCTGAGGCAGGCTGAGGCTGAGGCAGGCTGAGGCTGAGGCTGAGGCAGGCTGAGGCTGAGGCTGAGGCAGGCTGAGGCTGAGGCAGGCTGAGGCTGAGGCTGAGGCTGAGGCTGAGGCTGCTGTGACTGCGACTGCCGTTGCCACTGCGACTGTCATCGCGAATGCGACTACGACTGCGAGAACAGCAGAATTCTACAACTGGATTCTCATCCGAATCTTAAGGGGAATGCTTCCAGATATGCTCCTACACATCGATGTTAGGTTGCTTTGCCGGGATACTTTCAATTTTCCAAAAACGTTTTGTACGCTTCTGAGCCCCAGAATGAGGGTCGTCAGATTGATACGCGCATGTCGCGCGACACCAGGGGGGAATTCGGACGGGAGACATACTTATGTGACATAACACTACGTAGGATTTCTGCAATCATTAGATGCATTGGACACGTTGCACCACGGCGTTCGCCGAAAAACGCTGCCGCTCAGCACGTCACTTCCGGACGTGAAATCAAGAGGCTTACCCCACTCCGCCGACCTCCAGGAGAGGGATGAAGACCACGGTTGAGGCCTGTTGGGGCCTCTTGGGGACCCTCTGTGGGCCTCTTTTGGGCCTCTTGGGGGCCTCTCGGGGCCTCTTTGGAGTTTCTTGGGCGCCTGCTGGCGGTCTCGAGGGACCTCCTGGGGCGGAGGGCTCGGAATGTCAGATAAAGGTGCTTCTCTTTGGGCCCTGCTGGGGCCCTGTTGGGCTCTCTTGGGCCATCTTGGGCGCCTCTCGGGCCGTGTTGGGACCCTGTTCGGTCCTCTTGGTTCCCTCTTGGGGGACTCTTGGGCCGTCTTGGAGCGATCTTGGGGGCCTCTAAAGCCGTCTTCGACGCTGTTAAGACCAAGAGTGCGAAGACTCTCAGAATACACGCTTTCACAATGGATTTGGGCGATTCTTGCTTTTGGGGGCCCTCTCGGGGGTCGTCTTGGAGCCCTCCGGGGGCGTCTTTGAGAGGCCTCTTGGATAGTCTGGAGGCCATCGTTGCCGTCTCCGTGGCCTCCTCGTCGTGTTGGAGCCCAGCGTGAGCCAGCTCAGCTGGGATCTTGGGCATTCCTGGAGGCCACGGAGTGCAGACCTGAAGGCTGCTTGGAGGCCTCCCGGGTGCGTTGGCGAGCTCCTCCCCCGCCTCCCCCTTCTCCGGAGGCCCCCTGGCCCAAGCCCCCCGGCCCTTCCCTCTCATCGGACTCCAGGCCCTCGCCCGACCCCGCATCCCCGGCTGGCGGGGTCGGCGGGTTGCAACACAGCAGCGTTCGGATCAGGGTCTGATTAATCTTCGCATGTGCAAGAGCACGTGGACTCCAAGGTAAATTGTTGAGATGATCTGAAGTTAGTAGCGCTGTCTCTTCCTCCGTCCTTCCGTTCCTTCTTTTCAGTGGCTTGCTACTGCTGCCCTGGTTTCTGTCCGTGGGTCTCTGCGGATTCTCTAGACCCATAGGCCTGGACCGCCAGTCAAGAGAACGAGACTTGCAGAGTTTGCTCTCGGAAGCAGAAGCTTTCTTGGTACAGTCAACCCGCATAGTACGCATGGGCAAGTTTCCCAAGGGTGCCCTTGAATCCCTGCCTCCTCGGTCCATCCTTGGCCTCTTGTGTTGGCCGCGCCCCGCTCGAAGAGCCTCGAAACGGCTTTCCAAGGCCCTTGCATCCTTATCGTGCGTCCTGATGAGACGGGTCGACTGTAATGTTGTGGAAGTCGATTATGGAGAGGAAGTGTGCTGCTAAATAATTTCCAGATGTCGCAAAGATGTTTCAACCATGTTTGTCTCAATATGTTAAAAATCATGTTTGAAACAGTTGTAGAACATGTCTTACACATGGTGAACTCATCTTTAATTCAATGCTCGGATTGTTAGAGTGTCCATTGTCATGGCATCCACAACTGTACTGATGTCCGGTGTGCTGCAAGCTACCAGCCTCGAACTTATGCCTATCCCTAAGAGTAGCACGCCAAAAGGCGATGACAATCTTAGGGATCCGCCCTCAAAAAACTAGGGACCCCCTAAGATTGGCCTCGTGATGAGGAGGTGCCCAGCACAGGGACAGGGATATGCTTCAGGCTGGTAAGCAGGCGCCTTGCCGCTTCGTGCTCCTGCCAGCTTCAACCATGTTTGTTTCAATATTTAAGAAATCATGTGTGAAACAGTCCATTAAAAATGGATGTGAACACATCATGTTTTAATTGTAAAAACCATGTTTGTTTTAACTGCAAAAAGTCATGTTTGTTTTAACTGTAAAAAATGTCAACACACAGCTTTAGAGCAATGATCGGATTGTGAGAGTGTCCATTGCCACGGCTTCCACAACTGCAAACGACGCCCGGTGTGCTGCAAGCGCCCTGCCGCTCCGTGCTCCTGCCTGCTGCCCTCCGCGCGGCCCGCCGCTCCTCCCCCCAAAAGATGCTGGAGACCCTCTGCGGCCTGCCGCTGGCCTGGGACCAGTGCGCCCACCGGCTCGCCGAGGGCGCGCTGCCGGTGCTCCGCGCCGGGATCCTGCGCCTCGTCGCCTCTTCGCCGCCGCCGCGTCGTCTCGGAGGCGGGGATGTATCCTCAAGCACCGCCAGGGGTGCGGGCAAGACTTGTATCCAGATCCACCGCAGCTTGGAGCTTCGGGCGCCCTTCCCCAGAACCCGGAGGCGCACTGGATAGGGATAGGAATCTGGCCCCTGTAGAGGCTCGACTGTTGTCCATATCCAGCGCGCCTCGGCCTTGCGGTGCCCCTTCCAAGAAAGTCCAACACGCACTGGATATGGATACAAATATTGCCCGCATGGGGGGTCGATCTTCGCGAACCTCCACGGGCGGTGGATCTGGACTGGACATCTTCGGGCCTCCGGGGGCCCAACTATATACACATCCGCTGCCCGCTGGGGCACCAGGGCGTCGGCTCCCAGGCGGCGCATGCGGATGAGTCCCCGCCTCGCAGCGTCCTCCTCGGAGGTGTCAGGGGGGCATCGTTTTTTTTTGTTGTTGTGATTCTTGCACGTCTCTCGGCCGCCCGTAAAGAAGAGTGGCCCTCCGCCAGAGCGACCTTTTCTTGGTGCGGGCCAGCAGGGGTCCCCGCAGCGCTGGCCTGCGCGCTTGGGCCTGGCGTCCCCGTGGCCCCCAGCATCAGGAGGGAACAAAAACACAGACACAATGAATCGTCGATCCCCCCAGAAAATAAGGGAAAATGTGGGAAGTGGGGCGGAAGACAGAAACCCAGAAAATATGGGAAAATATGGGGCATCCTTTTATTTGTGTGTGTGTGTGTGTGTTTATTTGTGTGTCCCAGGGCCCCTTCACAGCAGCCGCGCACCACAACGGCCGCTCTCGACTTCTGGACGGGGCCGTCGTTCTCTGGCGTGCTGCGCAGGGGTCTCGGGCACGGGCCCTCGTCGCCGCGAGGCCCTGGGGCAGCCCGCTCTCTGGGACAGGAGGGGGGCAGACGGCGGGTGCCGGGTGGAGGATGATGCACCTCCTCCTCCTCCTCCTCCTCAAGTTCCTCGTCAGGCTCCTCGTCATCCTCCTCCTCCTCTTCCTCCTCCTCCTCCTCCTCCTCCTCCTCCTCCTCATCATCATCATCATCATCATCATCATCCTTCTCGTCCTCCTCCTCCTCCTGCTCCTCCTCCTCCTCCTGCTCTTGCTCCTCCTCCTCCTCCTCCTCCTGCTCCTCCTCCGGACGAGGAGGGGAGGGAGGTTGAGCCGGAGTACGACTCTTCGTGGGCTCCTCTATGACTGGGTGGATGGCTGGGCGGGCGGCGGGGGGGGGGAAGGGTGCCGAGGGAAGGGGTCGAGGGAATGTTGGAGCGAGGGGGTGAGTGAGCGAGGGGGCGGGGCGCCGAAACGAGGGAGGCAGGCGAAGTGCGAAACTGATTATGCCCCCCCTTGCCGACACCACGGTCGGGGCCAGCTTCCTCGGCAGGCGTTGCAGATGTTCTTCTGTACTTCAACGCATTCGGGTAAATGGCTCCATTTACAAAGGTAGCGCTGCAAAGTAACTGCTGTGAGGTCGGGGTAGGTGGCTGTTGGATTTGTGTCAACAGGAGGTGCGCCATTTTTTCGGGTTCGCTTCGTTTCTTGCCAAGTGGCGCGGTATGGGCGCGAGCCGAGTTTGACGCCGCTCCCCCCTCTCCTTCTTCTTCCTCCTCCCTCCCCTCTCCCTCTTCGTCGGAGCCCCAGGAAACTCTTACTGAATGGAGGATGGAGGATGCAGGCTGGAGGACGGAGAATAGCAGTAGATGGAAGAGGAGGTAGAGAACAGAGAATAGAGGATGCAGGAGGAGGCAGGGGGAGAGTGTGTTTGATGGTTCCTTGGTGTCATTGGTGAGGTACGGGAGTTTGTTATGAGATGTTTTTGTGTTTGTTTTATTGTGTGTGTGGTCCCTGGAGGTATGATGAATGTATTCGATGTTGTTTGGCGGGTCCTGGATGTAGAGGTCGAGAAGTAGGACGAGCAGGGAGTGGCTGGAGGGGGTGGGATCAGGAAAGCGAGGGAGGACGATGAGGATCACGAGGACGAGGAAGGGGAGGGGGAAATGCTGCAGCAGCTCCCCAGCCAGTGCCTGCGCTTCGGGGCTTTATCTCTCTTCCAGAGAACCGGGCCCGACGGGCGGTCAATGTTGATGATGCTGCTGATGCTGATGCTGATGCTGATGCTGATGCTGATGCTGATGATGATGATGATGATGATGATCATGATGATGATGATGATGATGATGATGATGATGATGATGATGATGATGATGATGCTGATGCTGATGCTGATGCTGAAGATGATGATGATGATGATGATGATGATGATGATGATGATGATGATGATGATGATGATGATGATGATGATGATGATGATGATGATGATGATGATGATATGCACTTGGAGCCTGGCGGGCGGTCTGGCGGCCACGTGCCCGCCGCCGCCGCTCCGTCGCCGCCTCGTCGCCGTTCGGCGTCTCGCCCTGTGCGTCGGTCTGGCGGCCGTGTGGTCGCCGTCGCCGCCTCGGCGCTGCTCGGCGGCTGGGGCGGTGCGTCGGTCCCCCTCGTCGCCGCCGCGTCGCCGCCCGTCGTCTGGGCCTGGGTGGCGCTCTGGCGGCTCCGTGCTCGGCGTCGCCGTCCCGTCGTCGCCGTCGCCGCCCCGTCGCCGCGTCGCGTAGACTGCACCGCATCGATTGCACCACATGGGTTGCACCACATGGAGTGCACCACATTGATTGCACCACATGGGTTGCAGCACACGGATTGCACCTCGCATACACCGCATTCCATCGATCGCACCACATCGATTGTTGCACCGCATAGCTTGCACCACATGGATTGCATCACATGGGTTGCACCGCGTGGATCGCACCACATAGCTTGCCCAACACATGGGTTGCACCACATATGAATACGGTGCAGCATAGGTTGTACGACCTATTTGTACGACATGGATGGCACATCATACGTTACACACATCTACTGATCCGAATTGTGTACAACCTATACGCCACACCAAGTATTGCAAACCATCGTGTGCAGCCTATGTTACACATGTATTGGTCGCACCACATCGATTGTGCAACCCAAATCGGACAATCTAGATCGCACCACACATATTGCACTCCATAGTTTGCACCACATCGATTGCGTCACATAGTTTGCACCATAAATATTGTTCCACCTTCACGCCCTACCATGTTTTACACCACGCACGTTCCGCACCACAGATCACACGGCATAGATTGCACAACGCTGACGCACCACATAGGTTGCATCACACAGATTGCACCGCACATGTTGCGACACATATACTGACCTGTATATTGCTGCACCTATACAGCACGACGTATAGAGCTAGATGCTGTGGGAGGCCCCCGCTGGCGAGCATACATACACATGTGTTCTCTTGTCTTTATGAATGCGCACGTGCATCTGTTTGTACACAGCCATATCTTCAGTTCAGAATCTCTCTTTCCTGAAGCTGTGCCGACACCTTCTCTCGATTCCGTTACCGACTTCCCCAACATTGTTGTGTTGGAGGTTGTGCTTGCCATTGTGTTGGTGGTTATGCGTTATGCTGGTGGTTGCGCTTGTGGCTGTGCTGATGGTTGTGCTGCTGGTTGCTCTGCTGGTTGTGCAGGTGGTTGCGCTGGTGTTGCGCTCGTGGTTGTGCTGGTGGTTACGCTGGCGATCGTGCTGGTGGGTGGAGGAGGGGGAGGAGGCGTATATAGGCCCTGGCGCGCTCCCGCGTATCATAGTCTGAAGGCCCCGGCCAGCAGACCCCTCCCCCCTGGGAGTGGCCGCCGTCCTAGCCGGCTGGCCTCCGGCGAGGGAGCCGCCACCCCTGAGGCAGAGACGGCGGAGGTGTCTGCTGGCTCCCTCCCGGTGGACGAGCCCCGGCCGTGGGAGAGACACGCGCGCGCGCCGCTGGAGGAGGAGGAGGAGGAGGAGGAGGAGGAGGAGGAGGAGGAGGAGGAGGAGGAGGAGGAGGAGGAGGGGTTGGAAGAGGAGCGGCGCTGAGCAGCAGCAGCGCCAGGTGCTGCGGAGCCAGCCGCTGGGGCCCCTTCTGCCGATCCTGCTCCAGGCCGCAGACGCGAAGGCACACGCGCTCGTTGAGGCCGCTCGTGGGGCCTCGGCCCGCTGCTCGCTGGCAGCGGCTGCGCAGACGGACGGCGGGAAGTGTCCAGACCTGCTCCTCCTCCTCCTCCTCCTCCACAAATTTCTCAATATGAATACTACTCTCCCTCTTCCCCCGAAGGCGGCCTGAAAGTATTAGACCCCCCCCCGCGTATTGTTTTTTACACACAAGATTCCCAGGAATTGGGTTTTCGCCTGCAAAATGCTGCTCTCGCTGAGGCGCCGGCCTCATTTCTGCTCCCGAATCGTTCCGAATCGTGCTCCCGCTGCAGCGTGGGCCTCATTTTCGGATCGGTGTTTGGCCTCCGTCGTTCAGGATGAATGGCGTTCTCACCCCAGCCCAGGCCTCTTTCTCGCGCGCCCATCCGCCCGCCACCACCGCGCCGCACCACCACCACCACCACCACCACCACCACCACCACCACCACCACCACCACCACCACCACCACCACCACAACCACCATCAACACCACCACCACCACCACCAGCACCACCAGCACCACCACCACCACCACCACCACCACCACCACCACCACCACCACAACCACGCACACACGCACGCACGCACGCACGCGCACCACCACAAACTACGCACGCGCGCGCGGAGCCACAGGTCCCCTACGACACGCTTCCGCGGATAGAGAAAATCAGCGCCATGGTAAGGGATGGGAGGGAGGGGTTTGACGTCAGATATGACGCGAGCGCACCTAGCTTGTCCTCCTCCCCCTCCCCCTCATCCCCCTCCTCCTCCTCCTCCTCCTCCTCCTCCTCCTCCTCCTCCTCCCCCGTCCTCCGCCCGTGCCAGGGGAGGCGGCGGCACCAGTGCCGGCGGAAATCGGGACACCGCCGCGCTTCCAGCTCCAAATTTCCGCGCTCCGACCTCCAGCATCCAGCATCCGTCTCTCCATTATCAACTCCGACTACGGCAGGTTCGCGTCGTGTCGACTGGCGGCGACCCCGCCGCGGGTGTGCAAGGTTGAACGCCGCCAGCGGCCCAGAATCGGCCTACATGAAACAATCGGGCGATCGGAAAGCCGCCGATCGTTCAAGGTTGAACGATCCACGCAGTGTCAGAAACCAACGCGGGGGTCGTCACGACGCGAACCTGTCGTATCGACATCGAGCTTCCACCACCTCAGCGCTCCAAGCTCCGTTCCCGCCAGCGTGGTGCAGTGCAGTGCACAGCCAGAACCGATGGAAGGGACGCGCGATGCGGATGCAAAGGCCTTGGGAGGCCGTGTCTCAGGCACCCGAAGGGGCTGTCCAGCGGAAGTGGCCAGAAATGGGCAAGGGCAACGGATGCACGGGCAACCAGATTAGATATTTCGCATCTTCGGCGATCAAAGTTTTTGCGCTCCTAGCGTCAATCCTTACTAGTAATGATAGATGTCGGTCGTGGGGTTGGAGGCGTTTTTTGTGTGGTTCGGTGCGGTGCTAATGATATCGCTCTGCGAAATCCGCCCCCGCGAATTATCTATTTTTATTTCGGTACCAACCATAGCACAGGAGGGGTCCTCAATTGCTTCCCTGGGCTACTATGGATTTTGATGGTGCTACGGCTGGAAGCTTGGGTCGCGAGCCGCTCTGCCTGCTCAGGCCCACCACGCCTCTGCGCGAAACGCTGCTCATCTCCCGGTCCCCAGGCCTCCGTATCCCGAACCTTTCTGGGCCTGCCGCCCCGCGGAGCGGAGCGGCGCGCTGTCCGCTTGCAGGGCGTCGCGTGCCGCCGGGGACGCCGCGGCGATCTGCCGAGCACGAGTTCCCGACCGTACGCGAGGCAAGAGAAGCGCATCAGCATTAAGTTTCGGAGCCCCGCGCGGTTTGTTCGGATCGGCGCTCGGCCCTCACTTGCGGCGCCTCCAGTGCTGCCCCGGCTGCGCGGAGCGCGCCAGGGAGGCGGGCCCAACGCAGATGAAATAACTCCGCAGGCAGACACGTCCAGCCCTCAAGCGCCACACGCACGTACAAGCAGCATGCGCTGCCCAATGGGCTCAGCCCGCGTCCGCAACCTTGGCGGATTTGGCCCCGCCCGGGCGCAGCATCGACCAGTCCGCTGTCTCGAGGGTCTATTCGGGGAGTCTTGTTTGGGACTCGCCAGCAACTTCCAGGATGTAGGGTAGACAGTTACACCATTATGCCAACACTGTTGTATGTTGTTGCACCTTGGCAAGTCCATCATGCATTCATGGAGTGATGGGGCGCGGTTGGTTTTCAAACTCCAGGTTCGCGTCCAGGATCCTGTCGGGGTTCTCCTCCCTCCCTCCTTTCTGTTGTTCCTTCCTCCTCGTCGTTTTTCCCTTCTGCTCGAGTCTGGGGCCATTGTAGGTGTTGCTGCCTTCGCTGGTGTCATCGCGCAGTAAAACAAGGAGACTGTCGGGTCCCATTATGCTCAAGCTCTACAGCTAAACGGATGGGCAGCGGCTTATGTCCTAAACCGAGTTTAGCATGTTGGTGTGTTGTGCGCGCTCTCTCTCTCTCTCTTTATCTCTTTCTTTAGTTGTCTCTCTGTTTCTCTCTCTCTCTCTATCTTTATATATTTATTTCTCTCTCAGTCTTTTTGTCTCTCTCTCTCTCTGTCTCTCTCTCTCTGTGTCTCTCTCTCTCTCTATCTCTCACTCTCCATCTCTCTCCGTCTCCCTAGATCGATTCATTTATCTCTCTATCTCTCACTCCCATCTCTCTCTCTATTGCTCTCCTTCTCTGTCTTGGATTCTCTCTTTCTCTCTGTCGTTCGATCACTCACTCACTCTCTTCCTCTCTCTATCTCTCTGTCTCTCTCTCTCTCTGTATCTCCTTCTCTCTCTCGCTCTGAATCCCTTTGTCTCTGTTTCTACTCTTTGTCCTCTCCTCCTACGCTCCTCGTCATCATACCCTCTTTTTCTCCTCCTCCCCCATTGCTCCCAGGGCGCTGTTCTCCTTGCCCTTCTCGCTGCCACTGCCCCTCCCTCTCCTTCTTTATTCGTTCCGACGCGCGCGCCTACACTCGCAGGTCTCTCGCGCAGGCTTCTGGCCCATCAGGAGGAGGAGCAGCATTAGCAGCAGGACAGAGAAGATGCCTCGCGGAGGGGGCAGACAGGGGCCGCGTGCTTCCTCAGCACCGCAGCCAGAGGGGGGTCCCCCGAGGAGGACGCCTGGTAGATTCTTGAGAAGTGACCTTCCAAGGTCCCGCGGAGACGCACCACGGAGGAGCTTCGAGACGCGCGCATTGGGAACGAGTCGGAAAACGGTTCGCGGGACACGCTGCGAGGTCAAGCAAGACGCTGCGAGGGTTCCTGCCCGGGAGCCTTAGAGGACCTGGCGTGGCTGGAGGTCCCCCCCCGCCTCCCCACTCCCTTCCCTGACCTTCCAGAGTGCTAAACAATAGCACTCCAGACCTATGAACCTATCTGAACTGCCTCGAACCTCGACAGGAATTAGGTCGTCGACGTACTGGTGCTATTTGTTGAGCCCTCCTGGAAGGTCAGGGTTTGGGCTCCCCAAAAATTGGAGGCGCCCTGGGCCGCGCAGCTTTCCTCCGTGGCGCGTGCGCGGCGTGCCGCGCGGCGCCGCTGCGGCGCCCCCCTCCCCGCCCCAGGTCAACTTTCCAACTTTGGGGGGCGATGTGTTCAAACTTTCAAACTTTCCTTTAAAGTGTTTTTCAAACTGTATTTTCTCAAACTTTCAAACTTTCAAACTCTGAAGCCCGGAATGTTAAAGCACTCAGGTCTGGGCGGGGGGCGCGCCGGCAGGAGGCCCCCTCACGCGGGCGGAGCGCGGAGCCGCGCCGGCGCCAGCGCGGCGCGCGCCGATATCGACCCAGACCTCGGGTCCGAGGAGGAGAGGGCACCAACTTGGCATCGCTTGGCTCGGGCGTGTGCCTTTTTCCTTCGGCGAGGACCATCGAGGAGCATCCTTGATCATTTTGGCGAAGAAGCCACGCACGAAACCGAGAAAAGCACAGGGAATGGACGTCCCAGCGATGGCCAGCCCACGGCGCATACCTCTACCCTTCCATCCCCAGGCACGATCGCGTCGTGAAAAAAGTTCGGGGCGAAGGTTGTTCGTCGTCTTCGGCCTCTCGAGGCTCTCGCTGGGCCCCGGGACCGTCAGCAAAGGACTCAGGATGAAAAACCGGCCCCAGGGAAAGGAAAGGGTCGGGACTTCCGGGGACGCCGTCCTGAACAAAATCAGGACGTCGCAAGTCTGAGTCGTTTTGCCCTTTTTCGGCCTCCTTGGAGGCTCTCGTCGTCACCGCTGGGTTCGCCTCGGAACTCTGGTCAGGACGCACCACGGCAGAGGTCCGGGGAGTAGCGGTATCGGTCCCTTCTGGTCTCCCCATCCGACGTATTGGTTTTCCCAATGCGGGCCCCCCCCGGAGCTCTGGACCCAGGTCGTTCCCCTGTTGCCGAAGATTTCGGGTCACGCTCTCGATAGAAAGCGGTCGCGACCGCAATGCGGCCCCCGGTCGCGAGCTCTGGTAACGAGCGAGCCGTCGACGTCTTCGAAGCCCGCTGGGGCCCCGACGCGCCGTCTCCCCGCTGCCGGAATTCGAGCCCGTCTGGTCGGGACTGGACTTCTGGCGCGACCGAGAAGTGCTCGGTCGCGCCAGGTTCCGGTCCGGCCGGGCAGCGCGCGAGAGCACGCGCGCGCATCCGTCCTGGCGAGCTCCAGCATGCGATGATAGCGCCAACATGGCAGCTTCCGGCCGCCATGCGCACTTCCTCATGCGGTGTGCGCCGCTGTTGCGGCGACGCCGGCTCCCGATTCAGAGCCGCGCGGAAGGCTGCCCTCGCAGACTGAAGCGCCGGCGCGACAACACCACGCAGCAACACGCAGTATTCATTGAAAGATCATGCACCCAATTCCGGGAGCCATTCGGGCACAGCTCGGGCACCATGACTCACTTTTAAGGCCCGGTCGCCCACCCAGAAGACCGTTATAACGGTCTTCTGGGTGGGCGACCGGAATCTCGTCGGACATCGTCGGTATACCGACGACGTGCGGTCGCGGATGATTCGGGCGCCGCTGCCCCCGTGGCCCGGTGTTCCGTCATGTGGGTCGTGGACGGCCTTGGGGCCTGTGGGTGGGGCTCCCAGGCGCCGGACACGAGGAGGCGCCTCCGTCTTGCCGTGTGCCACGCGTTGCACCCCGCGAGCCGGCGCCTCACGCAAGCACCGGGGCGCCGCGAGAGCTCGCGCCTGCAGCCCCACAGACCCTCTCCTCTCCTGCGCCCTCTCTCTCGAGCCGCGCCGACCTCCTGTGCGGGCCCTGGGGCCCGAGGCTGGGCGACGGCGCTCGCCTCGCGCAGGACTCGGACGCAGGATCTCCGGGCAGGGCCGCGCGGGGGGGTCGCCGCGCCCGCGCCCGCGCCCGCGGGGCTCTCCGGCGGCGCAGAGCGCCGCGCGGCGCAGCGCCGCGCGGCGACGCGGCGCGCGGCCCGCCGCGCGGCGCCAGGCCGTCGCGGACGTCATCTGCCAGCAGCTCCCGGGGGCGAGCGCAGGCGCCGCCCGCCCGCAGCGGGCGCGCACGCGCGCGGGTGGCCCCGACCGGGCCATGGCAGCATCATCTACCAGTTGAAAACGTATCCCCATCCCTATGTTTGACATCACTCAGGAGGGAAAGAAACACACAGACACAATTAATCGTCCATTCCAAAGAAAATATGGGAAAATATGGGAAGTGGGGGGGAAGACAAAAACTCAGAAGATATGGGAAAATATTGGGAATCCTTTTATTTGTGTGTGTTTATTTGTGTGTCCCAGGGCCCCTTCAATCACCTCCCCTCGGTGCCGATCTTAAGGGTTCCCTCCGTTTCTGAGGGCCCATCCCTAAGGTTGGCCTCGCTTCTTGCTCGCCCATCTGAGGGATAGGGATAAGCTCGAGGCTGGTTAATCACGACGGGAGGTTCCTCGCTCTAGTTTCCGGCCACTGCGGGCCCCTGCCGGGCCCCCCGGGGCCGTCAACAAAACGGCTCAGGAGGAAAGGCCAGTCCCAGGGAAGGGGTTCGGTCGGGCAGGTCCTCCTACGGGCTGATCCTCGCGGCAGAGTTAAAAAAACAGTCCAACACATGGCCAAGTGAAGTCGAAAGAGCACGAGAAATCGTCACCTGATTATTTTCAAGAGAAGAAGAAGCAAACAGACATCATTAATCGTCGACTCCCAGGAAAATATGGGAAAATATGGGAAGTGGGGGGGGAGACAGAAACCCAGAAAATCTGTGAGAATATGGGGAATCCTGTTATTTGTGTGTATCTATTTGAGTGTCCCAGGGCCCCTTCATCTTTGTTAAAACTACTCTCGAACCCTCCTCCTGTGGACGGACGTGCCCGACCTCAGGAAGGGGTCGAAGCTTCTGGGCGGTCGACGCTGTGAGCCACATCGTGACGTCTTGTGTTAAAACTATTCTCGAACCTTCCTCCTGTGGACGGACGTGCCCGACCTCGGGAAGGGGTCGAACTTTTCTGGGCGGTCGGCGCCGTGAGCGCCGCGTCGTGGCGTCGGGGGGGCCTGGGCGCCCGCGGCCGGCCTCTGCCTGGCAGAGGCCTCCGCTGGCACGGCTTTGTTCGCGGCCGGTCCTTCAAGCAGCGGCGAAGCGTCCTGGCGCGCCGATAGCCCCACCAAACAATGTTCTTAGAGCTTTTCGGGTTGAGACCGTCTTGTTCTAACACTTCGTGTTTCTGTTCTAAGAGAACATGGATTTTGTTCTTCGAGCAGTTTTGGGCTCTAGGAACATTTCGTAGTAGGACTATAGGAATGCCAGGACGGTCGGTCCCTGCTCAAGTCCTACACATTGCTCGTGTCTAAGTATTCGACAACTCTTCGATTTTTTGGGAGCCAAGATGCTTTCATTTCTAATTGCTCCATCCTGGGCCTCTTCCTGGCCCCGGGGGGCCAGGAACAATCAGAAACGAGCACAGGCGTGTATAGACAGGCCAGGCCCTGAAATGAACGGCGTGTATAGACAGGCCCTGAATGCCGGGCCAGGCCGTGAATGCCGGGCCAGACGTTTTTGGGGGGCCATGAACGGCGTGTATAGACAGGCCAGGCCCTGAGATCCTGGCGTTGCAGCTTTTTCTGGGCGCTCTTCCCCAGCTTCGGGTCCCGGGGACCCTCCCACATCGATCCAGCTCGGAACTCGGCGCAACAAAAGTTGGGTGTCGGGGCTCCGGTCGTGACCGTTCACGGGGTTGCGGCAATTGGTTTCGCAACGTTGGGCCTCAGGGATGCAGGCCAGGGGCGGCCGACCGACGGTCGTGGTCTGCTCTGGGGCGCGCTCGGCGCCTCGCACACCAGAGCACAACCATGGGTCAGCAGCCCCTGGTTGATAGCAGTGGTGATGGTGGTGGAGAGTAGGCCCAAGAACGATAGGCGTCTGCTGCAGCCAGTCGCGGTCCCTGCCCCTGCGGCTCCAGCCGACGCTGGGTTCTCGGACGCCCCGCTGGAGTTCACTCGGTTGCAGGCATCCTTCGGACCCTGGACCCCGGCTGGCGCTTCCGAAGCCCTGCAGGGGCAGCGTTCACGCCTGGCTGCCTCAGAGGAAGGCCCAGAGATCCGATGTCGTGATTTTTTCAATACGGGGTCCCCAGAAGTCTCGACCCACTCCCCAGGACCGGTTTCTCATCCTGAGGCGTTTTCTGACGGTCCCGGGGCCTGGCGAGGGCCCCTCGAGGCCGAAAATTGAAAAAAACCTCCGTCTGGATTTTTTCAATACGTTGGATCTCTGGGTATGGGCTCAGGGGGACGTGTCGACCCCCAATCGCTCATTGTCAAGGAAGCGCAAGCATGGGCTGAGGCGTGCGGGTTTAAAAAAGCGACACTTCCCGCTGGTCCATGCAGACAGAATCGGCGCGCTCCGTCACCCAAAATTGGCGGCCTCGGACTCCTTTTTTTCGCGGGGCTCGCTCCCCGATCCGTGGCTCGGGCGCCCACGCGCCAGATCCACGGATCTTACCAGGCGTATCCCTATCCCTATGTTGGGCACCTCCTCATCACGATGCCAATCTTAGGGATTCCCTTATTTTTTGAGGGCGAATCCCTAAGATTGTCATCGCCTTTTGGCGTGTCAATCTTAGGGATAGGGATACGTTCGAGGCTGGTAAGGATCCTTATCCAAGGGGCGCCATTCCGCCGACCCCCAGACGAGAGACCAAGTCCACTGGTGGGGGGGCCTCTTGAACCGTCGCGGGCGCTGTTGAAACCAGGAGTGCGGATGCGTTCAAAATATATGTGCCCCTTATGGCTTTGGAGGATTATTGCTTCTTGGGGCTCTCTCGGGGGGTCGTCTTGGAGCCCCTTTGGGTTGTATTAGAAGCCTCCTGGGCAATCTGGAGGCCATTCCGGCCGTCTTTGAGGATTCTTCGGCGTGTTGGAGCTCAGCTTGAGCCAGGTCAGACGGCATCTTGGGCATCCTGGAGGCCGCGGAGTGCAGATTTGGAGGCTCCGGGGGCCCCTGGGGTGCGTTGGCGAGCTCCCCCACCCCCCGAGCAGCCGTGCGTCGTAGTGTGCCAGGCGGCCCCCCCAGCCCCCCCCCCACCCCACCCTTCAATCGAATTCCAGACTCCAGGCGAGGGGGAAAGGGGGATATGGACATCCGATCATCTCACACGCTGCACCCCCAGCAGGCGGGGATCTGCGGACTCCATCTTGGCGCGTGCCCGACGTGGCTCGCCGAGAAAGGGGCCCTTAAAGCCCATCGCGCACAGGAGGAGGAGAGGGAGGAGGAAGAGGAGGAGGAGGAGGAGGAGGAGGAGGAGGAGGAGGAGGAGGAGGAGGAGGGAGGAGGAGGAGGAGGAGGAGGAGGAGGAGGAGGAGGAGGAGGAGGAGGAGGAGGAGGAGGAGGAGGAGGAGGAGGAGGGGGAGGAGGAGGAGGAGGAGGAGGAGGAGGGCAGGAGGAGGAGGAGGAGGAGGAGGAGGAGGAGGGGGAGGAGGAAATGGAGGAGGGGGAGGGGGGGAGGAGGAAGCAGCCGCGGCGCCAGGGTGGGCAGCTGCCCGTGCACGCGCCCCGAAGCCTCGAGGCCACCATGAGGCGTCCAGAGGTCCCTGGCGGCCTCGGGAGGCCTCATGGGGGCCGGCTCAACCTTAAATGCAGAAGCGATTCCTCCTCCTCCTCCTCCTTCCCTCTTCCCTCCCTCCCTCCTCTCCTCCTCCTCCCGGCTCCTCCTCCTCCAATTTCCCTCTCCTCTCGTCCTCCCCCTCCCTCCCCTCCCTTCCATCCCTCCCTCCCCTCCCCTCCCCTCCCCTCCCCTCCCTCCTCCTCCTCCTCTCCTCCTTCTCATCTTTTCCCTCCCTCCTCTTCAGCCTCTCCTTCTTCCTCCCTCCATCCCTCCTCTCTCTCTCTCTCTATCCCTCCTCCCTCCCTCGCCCTTCTTCTTTCCCCTCCTTCCTCTTCCTTTTCCCCCTCATGCTCCTCCAGCTCCTCCTCCTCCTCCTCCTTCTCCGCTTCTTCCTCCTGCCTCCTCCTCCTCTTCCTCCTGCTCCTCCTCCTCTTCCTTCTCCTCCATTCCTTTTTCTTATACTCATTATACTTTATTTCTCCCTGTCGCACCCCGAGGCCGGTTTTGAGGGCGGGCCGGGCGTTTCGCCTGAGACTTCCTCACCATTTATGATTCTGAAATTTACTACACATTGGCAACAGTTACACATATATAGAGGGCGGGTCGTTTTCAAAATGTGACTCTCGCCCACATTCTTTTCGAATGTGTGCAAGAGCTTCACGGATTGAGGGCGGGTCGTTTGCAAAATGTGGCTCTCGCCTTAACTCGGCGCACATTCGTTTCAAACACTTGCAAGAGCTTGACGGATTGAGGGCGGGTCGTTTTCAAAATGTGGCTCTCGCCTTAGCGCGGCGCACATCCGTTTTTAAGCAATGGCAGGAATTCACGGATTGAAGGCGGGTGGTTTTCAAAATGTGGGTCTCGCTTTAGCGCGCCGCACATTCGTTTGAAACATTTGCAAGAGCTTCACGGGTTGAGGGCGGGTTGTTTTCCAAATGTGGGTCTCGCTTTAGCGCGGCGCGCATTCGTTCTAACAGTTTACAGAATTTTCGCGGGTTGAGGGCGGGGGATGGTTTTCAACATGTGGTTTTCGCCTCCGCGCGGCCCAGATTCGTAGTAGCAGCATGCAAGATTTTCACGGGTTGAGGGCCGTTCCTTTTCAAGATGTGGTTCTCGTTCTAGCGCGGCGCATATTCGCTTCAACCATTTGTACGAGTTTCACAGGTTCCCGTCATCAGCGTGCCAGAAATGGATGTTTGAAGAGATTCGTGATTATGTGGGTGCAACAATTAAGTCGATTCGCTGTGTTGAAATCCCAGGAATGGCGTTCTGGTGCGATTCATGATTGTCAAGACGCAGCAGTCAGGTTGATCCGTGGCGTTGGAATGTTTTGGTATGCTTCAGGGTCTTCAAACGGTTGTCTTCCAAGGAGGCAGTTCTTTCACCGGAAATGAACCGTTGCAGGGGCCTGTGAACAGGGAGCTTGGAGGGAAGGTTTATTCCAACATTGTTGATGACTCTTGGGTTTACACTGGTCCTCCTCCTCCTCCTCCTCCTCCTCCTCCTCCTCCCTCGGAGAGGCCTCCGGGCGGATGCCACCTGCGCCCTGATCTCCAGCGGCCTGGGCCAGAAGAGCGCGCCGACCACGCTGCGGGGGCTCCAGCAGGAGGCCCCCGACGAAGCAGTGGCGGCGACGGCGTCGACGGGAGGAGGAGGAGGAGGAGGAGGAGGAGGAGGAGGAGGAGGAGGAGGAGGAGGAGGAGGAGGAGGAGGAGGAGGAGGTGATCGAGGATCAAGGCCTTGGCCTTCAGGCGCTTGGATGCGTTTTCGGGCCTCCTGGGCGCTCTCGTAGCTACGAGCGACGGATATACCCGATTCGAAGTTCTTGCCAGAACGCTTTGCCGGAGAGTTGGCAGGGACCGACTGTTAGAGGTGGTGGGGGAGGGAGGATGACTTGTTGGGCTTAGGGCCTAGGGCTTAGGAGCTTTCGTTTGGTAAGACTGTCCAGGATGGGTGGTCCTGTGTTGTCCACGGGGGCTCGATTGGGGGGAGGGCACGGGGGGACATGGTCAGGAGGAGGAGGAGGAGGAGGCGGAGGAGGAGCAGCAGGACAAAGAGAAAGGTCGGGGGGAGGAAGGGGGGGGGGGAAGGGAAGCCAGGAGGAGGGGAGAAGGAGGCTGCGAGAGGGAGGGCCCGCGCCTCGAGGGAGGGGCCCACGGACCACCCTCCCCCTGCGGGGATCCGCTCGGGCCGTGCCGGGGTGCGCCCGTGCGCCCGGCCCTCCGCCGCGGGAGGGCGGGGCCGAGCAGCCAGCGAGGGGCTCGTCTCGGGCCGCCCTGGCAAGCGCTTGCTCGGGCGATCGCCAACGAGGAGGAGGCGGAGGAGGAGGAGGGGGAGGAGGCGGAGGAGGAGGAGGAAGGGGAGGAGGAGGAGGGGGAGGAGGGGGAGGAGGAGGAGGAGGAGGAGGAGGAGGGAGGAGGAGGAGGAGGAGGGAGGAGGAGGAGGAGGAGGAGGAGGACGAGGAGGAGGAGGAGGAGGAGGAGGGGGAGGAGAGGAGGAGGAGGAGGAGGAGGAGGAGGAGGAGGAGGAGGAGGAGGAGGAGGAGGAGGAGGAGGAGGAGGAGGAGGAGGAGGAGGAGGAGGAGTGGCCTGAGCGCAGGGGCACACGTCTGGGACTGTACCGCCCCTTACCAGGATAACCTCACGCGCGTCTCCTAATAGGACCGCGCCCCGTTCTGCTTGTGCTCTCTCTCTCGGCCACGGCGAGGCCTTGGGAGGGAGCGGACCATCGGCGCCAGCGCCGACATCGCTCGAGGGCGAGAACGCTGGCGCGCCTGGGGCAGGCGGCAGGCCTGCTTCAGGACCACCACAGCGCGCAGCAGCCGCCCAGGCAGATGAATGGCGCCGCCACGAGCAGCCAGATGGTCAAGTGCGAGGCCTGCGGCTGCGGCAAGAACCTCGGCTGGTGGCGTTGGTGCAAACACTGCCGTGGGCCGTTGGTACCATCCGAGCCGCCACCGCGGCAGGGGCCTAAGCCAGGGCGTGGGGCCGCTCGCTCGCCTGCTCCTCACGCTGGTGCTGCTGGCAGTCGGCGCGATGCGCCTGCTCATCCCTGGCGGCAGACCTCGCAGCCTCCCAGGCGGCAGCCTTCTCGCGAGCGGCAGCCCAGCCGCGCTCCGCCCCAGGTCGCCTTCGATCTGCGGCCTGAGATCATCGACGGTGACGTTGGTGACAAGGAGGAGCAGCGCCTGGTCAGCCTGGTCAAGCTCCTCAGCGAGACAGGCGACTCTGCCGCCGCTGCCACCTACCAGAAGAAGCTCGATGACCACCGCCAGAGCAAGCTCGACGCTAACATGTCGGTGGGACTTGCGAAGGCCCGCATGGACAGGGCTCTGGCCATCCTTCGCAAATCGGTCGACAAGTGCGAGAAGCTTGATGCCCAGGTCGAGCAGGCGCAGAGCGAGGTCCAACAGCACAGCGACGAGCTGGACGCAGCGCGAGCCCACTACCAAGTCTGTGTGCGCAAGCTGCACACCAGCATCGTGGCGGACGAAGAGCCTACGAAGCCGCCCACGACCAAGATCGACCTGTCCAAGCTCCTGGATGGGGAAGACCTGCTGCTGGACGACGGCGACATGTTCGGCCTCGAGGACCTGGGCGATGTGGTGTCGCCAGAGGACCGTGCCGAAACAATGCGCAGGAAGGAGCAGCTCTCAGCGGAGTTCAAGACGGCGCTTGGCACGCTCTTCGGGCCGCTGCGCGAGAAAGCGGCAGCGCTGGGCCAGGAGCAGCAGCAGCACATGGAACGCCTATCGGCCAAGAAGCGGAAGTCCAACGCCAGCGGCGACGAAGGAGCACCTGGAGGAGTGGCCGTCCTTCCAGAGACCACGCCCGGGATGGAGGCACCGAAGGAGTCGGCGCCCGCGGCCGAGCCCACGACGGCCCAGCCTCCCACGCCGAGAGGGGCAGCGGCGGCAGCAGCCGCGGCAGAGCCCCCAGGGCGTCAGGACCCGAGCAAGAAGGCCAGCTCCTCGATCAAGGCGGCCAAGGACAAGTTGGAGCAGGCCTCCAAGGCGGCCAGTGGCAAACCAGCGCCGTGTTTTTAGCAACTACACCTTTGAATCTGATCAGCAGTGCCCTATTTTGACTGTTACCCCGTCGAGTGCAATGGGGGGCATCTGCAGCGACTTCACCTACAACAGCGTCAGTCTTGTGGCGATGCAGCCTGATGGGAGCAGGCCTACGTGTAGCCATGATGGTGATGCACCTCCCTACATTCCTGAAGATACGCATCCTGGGCATGCTGATGGAGCCCGTGGTGACTGCAACCCCCGTCAGCTGGATGCCTCCCTTTCTCTCGTTGAGTTTGCCAATGATCAGAGGCGCCCCCGACGTGCGGTAATACGAAGCAGCCCTGCGCCGAAAATCGAGAGGGAGATCAAGCGCTGGGCAAGGCGGTGGATCCACAACGCACGCGTTGGGGAGGAGGCGGACGCAAAGGACGCCTGGCACGACTGGTGTGAACACTAGGTGGCGGAGCTACTCAGGGCTCCCAAGTCCCAGTGGATGCTGCAGGCGCACGGCTCCACGGCTGAGCAGATGGCCAAGGAGCTATGCGACCGTGCCTGGCGCAGCGGGGCGCGCAGCCGAGCAGCTTTTCTGAAGTGGCTTGACGCCCTCACGTTCAGCCAGTGGCTTGTCGCAGCCTCGATCCACAGGCAGGAGCATGAGCTCTTGAAACAACGGATTGCGGACCTTTACAGGCAAGGTTCGGCGCCGCCGATTGCGCCTTTGCGCCAGCGGCCGAGCTGGACGCCGACATGCGATGGGCCTTGGACTTCGGCTGCCTCGGCGTCCTCTGGCCCTGACAGCGACGACGACTGGGTGTGCGGCAACCCCAGCTTCGGCGACCTTGGCGACGTCAGCGAGTCCGATGACGATGATTGGAAGATGGTCAGCATCCCAGAGGGCTGCTCCCAGGGGAAGAGCTCGATGCTGAACACCAGGTTCCACGATGACGATGATTGCTACAATGACACCTACGGCGACCAAGGCGTTAGAACGCACGCCTCAAGTCCTGGCTCTGCCAGGCTCAACGTCGCCACCTGCGCTGGCCCGACCCTGGACACCCCAGCCACAGGAGGATGGGGGCACTGTGCGTGGGAGGGTCAGTGCAGGGATTTGCTGGACGCCAAGTCTGACGACGACGCCGATGAGCGCACTGAGAGTCGTCGTCTTCGTGCGCTGTTGCGTGCGTGGGCAGGTACGTGGTTGCACCCTGAGCCTGCAGTACATGATGAGCTCGATGCGCACCAGGACTGGCGATACTTCTGCGTGCCGTACGCCTTCAGGGTCCTCTCCGAGATGGTCTTCCAGCCTATGGTGGCCAGGACCGCTGCCCTTCATGGCGTCGATATGCTGGAAGCCAGAATGATCTTGGCTCGTGACTTTTGCAGCAGCACTTGGTCTGACCAGGCGAGGGCCAGAGATCGCTACCTGGCACACTTTCTGCGTCTGCGCCGTGTCTCGGCACAGGATTATGATGAAGAGGTACACCGTCACATCGACGCGCAGATGGGCACTGCGGCTTGGATGGAGACCCATGCCCAACCGCAGACTCGCCAGACGCAGCCGGCTGCCAATGTCAGCTCGGCCACCTCAACTACGGCGCCGTTGGCTACACCGTCGACGGCATCCACTTCGCAGGTGGCGACGGAAGGGGCAAGGGCTACCAGCGGCCCCTCGGCACCTGCATCACCCCCGACAAGCTCGTCAAGTGAAGGCGCAACACGCGATGCGCCTGCTGATACGGATGGCAGGCAGGCCGCGCCCAGCCCGCCGTCGGAAGCGTCGTCTCCTGGCAGGGGCGAAGGGAGATCTCGCAGGCCCAGGGCCAAGCGGAGGGATAACACTTTGAGGTTCTTCTCTTCGAATGCTAACTCCTGGGGCAGCTTTCAGGACAGCCCCGAATGGCAACTTACCCTGGGCCAGGATAAACCAGACTTCGTGGCTGGGCAAGAAGCGAGGCTGGGGCCAGGGGGCCCCACCACCAGAGGGGAGTCCTGGCTAAGCTCGGGGGAGCGAAGGACCCGGGTTTGCCAGGACTCGGGTTCGCCATCGTTTTTTGACGACCGCGCCTCGGATTTTGACGAGGGGGAGTTTCGTGGGATGTCTGCAGCGGGAGGCCTCGTCAAAATGCAGGCTCGGCTTCGTCATTTTTTTGGCGACCTCGTCGGGGATTTCCGAGTCCCCCGTACCCGGGTCTTACGTCTCTCCGATAAGCTATCGAGGGTACGGCTCCAGGTTCTCCCCTGCCGTCAGCACGGGTGACCATGTCCTGGCCACGTCTGCAGGTGTTTGTGTTGGCATCGGGAGGACCGTCGTCTCCCGCGCCATTACATGTAACCAGCTCTGCCTAGGCCCTGTTGCTGCAGGCCGCGTGGCAGTGCAGTTCGCCCAGGCCATTGTCCCAACAGGCATCTATTGGATTTCATGTTATGGCTACACTGGGGCTGGCTGTTCGGGGCTGAATCTGCAGATCCTGGAATCTCTGGCTGGGTTTTTGGAGCATCTTACCACGCCTTGGGTGATTGCGGGAGGCTTTAACATGGATGCAGGTTCGGATGGGCTACACCGATGGTGCGAACTTCTAGGTGCTGCTGTGATGGCC